GATGAGTCTTGGGTTGCCACTGGTCCTTCTCCTCCTCCTACTCCTACTCCTCCTCCTCCTCCTCCTCCTCCTCCTCCTCCTCCTCCTCCTCCTACTCCTCCTCCACCTCCCTCCAACCCTTCCCTCCGCTCCCTCATCCTTCTCCTCCTACTCCTCCTCCTACTCCTCCTGCACCACCTCCTCCTCCCTCCCTCCCTCCGTCCCTCCCTCCCTCCCTCCCTTCCCCCCTTCCTCCCTTCACACGCCCGTCCTGAGAGGCGTGGGGGGGGCGCGGCTCCCCCAGGCTGGAACGGGAGTCAGGAGGACGAGGAGGAGGAGGAATGGGGAGGAGGAGTATGAGGAGCTCGTCCTGGCCTCTCGTTTGTCAACTCTGTATGTGCCCTGGCTGGCGCAGCTCCTCCCCCCCAGACGAGGCCGCTGCTGGGCCGCGGGACCCTCGTGCCGGTCGCTAGGCAGCGGCTGCTCCTGGGGGGCCGGTGGAGAGCACTGCGGGGGCATGCGCCGGCATCAATGCAAAGAGCGCCTGGACCGCGCTCCCCCGCCGGAGGAGGAGGAGGAGGAGGAGGAGGAGGAAAAGGATAGGGGAGAAGGATTGAGGAGGAGGAGGAGGAGGAGAAGGAGGAGGAGGACGGGGGAGGAGGAGGAAGAAAGAGGGAATGAGGAGGAAGTGGTGGAGGAGGATGGGGAACGAGAATGAGGGGGAAGGGAATGAGGAGGAGGAGTAGGAGTAGGAGGAGGAGGAGGAGGAGGAGGAGGAGGAGGAGGAGGAGAAGGAGTGGAGGTCGCCCACCGTGGTCGAGGCACGGCCGAGGCCCAGCACCCGAGGGCCGGAGCCGAAAGCCGCGGCAGGCCGCGGCCGATTCCTGCCAGTGTGCCGAGCCGCACGGTGAGCAGGCAGAGGAGGAGGTCCCGCGGCACATCCTGGCACCACCCTCCTCGGCCTCCTCGGCGGCCTCGTCGTCCTCCTCTCCTCCTTCACCCTCCTCCTCCTCCTGCTGCCGCGGGGGGGGGGCAGCCAGATGTCTCACACGCCGGTTCGCCCCAAGCAAGCGGGGGTCACAAGAGTTCCTTCAGGCGGTAGGGTTCCTTCAGGCGGCAGCTTTCCTCTCAGCTGCGGCTCTGGCTGTGGCTGTAGTTCTCGTTGTGACTGGCGACTCAGCGGCAGGCTGTAGCTCTACTTCAAGGGGAAGCTTTGCGCAGCGGGGCGAGGAGGGCGAGGAAGAGGACCATGCTCTAAGCGTCGCTCAACCGACCCCAATCCCCAACGGCGTGGCCTGGGCCCCGCTGGCCGATTTACCCCCCCAGATGGGAATGTGGGCTGCTTCCTTTGGGTTTCGAGGGGTGCATTCCCAATTGGGGGGGTGAGATGGTGGGGGTCTGCACGGGGATGAGGATGGGGATAGGGGTCGCATAAACGATGCAGATGCTCCTCATGGTCCAGCACGTCTCTGCAATGCGGTTTTGCACAATGTGTGTACATAACAGCTGGGAGCGGACGAATCCAGTGCTACTATCGGCATAAGCTCAGCCTCACCGCCGGACTTGGTTTTCAATCAAAGGCCAGCGAAGGAAGGGGAAGGAGGAGGCGGAGGAGGGGAGGAAGAGGAGGTAGATGGCTGTGCCGCGTGACTGCCCCAAAGCCAACTACAACAGCAACAGGAGGAGGTGAAGGAGGGTGAGGGGGAGAGGAATGAGAGGGAAGAGGACGAAGGGATGGGGGGGAGAGGGGGATGGGGGAAGAGAGGAGGGGCAGGGGGAGGGAGGGAAGAGGGAGGGGGGGAGGGAGGGGCAGCGGGGCGAGGAGGAGGAGGAGGAGGAGGCCAAGCCAGTTGCGCTCGCGCCATACCTGGCACTGTACTTCTCCCACCGATTCCTCCACATGTCGCAAAGTCTCTCTCTACCCGCAGACCCGTCTCATAGCGGGCCTGGAACCATAGCGGGCCGGAAAAATTAGCCTGGCGAAGAACCCAACCATATGCAGTTGTCAGTACCGCAGCTGCGGGTTTCATCTTCAATGGAACTCCCCATAGGATTACGGAACGTGTGAGGGGTGTGCCGAGATGGGTGCCACTGGGGCATTCGGCGAAGCTCCCTATGGGGACATGAAACACGCGCGGGGCGTGCCGACATGGGTGGCGGAAACGCATGTGCGGGCCGCCACTGGGGCCTCCAGTGGAGCTCCCTATGGGTCCCCGAAACATGATGCTGCTGCGGGGGGGGGGG